GTCGTCTTCTATCGATTTAATTAATATTTTATCGTATTTAAATTTTTATTTTATTTCAATTTTAAGGATCAGAATTTTTTCAATTTGTTTCCAATTTACAACAAAAATTCCATAAATTCCTTCGTTTATATAAATATTATCATTATTATTTTTTTATGATTAATTATTTTTATCATAATATATATATATGAAATTATATTAGAATAAAGATAATAGGAGGAAATGATTCGTAAGAGAAATAAATATTATCATTATATTATCATTATTTTTTTAATGATTGATTATTTTTATCGTAATATATATATGAAATTATATTAGAATAAAGATAATAGGAAATGATTTGTAAGAGAAATAAAACTAAATTTAATTTTAAGTTTCATTATCATATAATCAATACTCTTTTGTCTTTTTTTTACCTGTCATACCAGTGTTAATAATCAGATATCAAACCTAAAATAAATGCAATACTACGAATTAATCAGTTAAAAAATTTGATTAGTTTTACTATCATTTTCTATCCATTAAATTCATTCAAGTTATTTTTAAACGACATATTCGATATTTTGATGACATTTTAATTAATCTTACCAAAATTATATTATCATTTGAATTAATCATTTAATGGTTTATTTTCTTCATCGTTATCAGTTTGATATGTCAGAAGGCGGACAATCATTAGTAAGGTAACGGTTGAATCGCGAAATTTACACACACGCACATACATACATACACATACACATACATACCACACACATACACACATACATACATACATACACATACATACATATACATGCACACCCATAGACAGACGGAGAGATACACATATACCCGTTGTGTATCATCGATCGTCGCAAAATAAAATTCAATGATATCTAACAATTCATTTTATATCACTTATCATCATTATTTAAGCTAATCTTAGCTTGTTTGTAATCAACAAAAGAAATTATTAAAAAAAAATTATTCAAATTACAAAAGAGATCTGAATGAATTGATAATATTTGAGAAGAAATTTTCAAGATTATTTTTCACACTATCACCACTTATCATTATTATTATTATTATTATCCATTATCATGTTACCATTATTGTTACTGTTATTAATATTTGTACTTATCATAATCATAATCATGATTAGCAAACAGAAATTATTATTATCTATCATCACACTACCATCAACATTACCAATCATTATTAACATTTGTACTCATCATCATCATATTCATAATCATGATTAGCAAACAGAAATTATTATCCGTTATCACATTACCATCATCATTACTAATCATTATTAACATTTGTACTCATCATCATCATCATCATATTCATAATCATGATTAGCAAACAGAAATTATTATCCGTTATCACATTACCATCATCATTACTAATCATTATTAACATTTGTACTCATCATCATCATCATCATCATCATCATATTCATAATCATGATTAGCAAGATAAAAGTAGAACGGATGGATCAAATGGATGACTCAATTTTTTTTGAAAATGGTTAATTTATTCTTATAAGAGACTTAAACTTATCTTCTCTCTCTTTCTAATGCAAATCATACATCTCAATAATTTATGATGCTGTAAACAAATAAACAAACTATTGATGTATGCAAATAACTCACCTATACACTTTTATTTTTCTAAATCTTCAACAGCAAACGATAGAATTATACTATGGGATTTGATAAAGTTTATAAATTAATAAATTCTTCCGATACATCAATCAATCATAGATCAATCAATCATAGATCAATCAAAATGCAGGAACATAAATAGGCAGGTAACAGGTGAACGAATAGATAGGATAGCTGTAGGTAAGAAACAATTCAACGATAATCCTTTCTCTCCTTCTATTTATCGAATTATAAATTCTAACAACACTCTATGCGTTATGGATGTATTTATACACATTTGTGTGTATGTATGTATGTATGTATGTGTATATATAGTACGTGTATGTGTATGTGTATATGTATCTATGTATGCATATATGATGTGTACGTGTATGTGTGTATGTGTGTATGTGCATGTCTGTTTCAACAAATGGAATGATTTTTTCTTCAGGGATAATTTCTAGAAATCATCAGTCAGCTGCACTTTTCTCAAATTCAAAGTTTTTTTTCAAAAATGGACAGCTATATAAGCGTGTATGTCAATGTATGTCTGTGTATGTTCTATATTTGCATGTATGTGGGAAACTTTTCTCTGTGTATATGAAGGAAACATACATGCATACAATGTATGTAATAAGTGATAGCTATATGAGCACAAAAATATATGTATGTGTACGTAAATGTATGTGTGTGTGTGTGTGTGTGTGTGTGTGTGTATATGTGCACATATATATTTGCATGTATTATGCATTTGTGTGTGCATGTATGTGTGTTTGTATGTATGTGTCTATGTATGTATACATATATTATGTATATGTATACGAGTGTATGTATGTGTGTGTATGTATGTGTGTATGTATATATGCATGTATGTGTGCATGTATGTGTGTATGTATGTATGCAATTGACAGTTATTTTTCTAATCGAAACTATAATATGAAAGTGAAAAAGAGATAGGAATGATGATGGAAAGTTATGAAGCAATGAGCTTTTTTTTTCATTCATCTTTCCGTTCTCTTCTCCCCCGCCCTTCTTCTCCCCCGCGTTCTCCTCTATTCTACCCTGCTGTACCCTATCGCTGCCCGATTCTTATCCTTTTTTGTGTTTTAAAATGAAATGAAAAGCTCTATCATTTTATCAGTTCCTCTCTTTTTATCACTTATATTTCTCAGTAAATATTTGAACAGAAATAGAAATTTATATTTTTTATGAATGGAAAAAGGAATAATTAAATTTTTTTTAAATTATAAAAGAAAGAAATAATTAATTTTTTTTAATTATAAAAAAAACGTCAATGTTTTTAGAATCTTAAAAGAATAATAAGTAAAGTTAATTGAAATGATTGATAATAAAGTATTAGTCAACCAATCAGTCAATTAATCAATCAACCAAAATTCATTTAGGATAGATCGAATTTATTATTGAGATGAAATGAAATGAGGGGGTGGCAGAGGAAGATAAAATGAAATGAGGGGGTGGCAGAAGAAGAAGGAAATTGTTGTGGTGCTCTGTGATGACGATGATGATAATAATGATGGTGGTGGTGGTGGTGGTGGTGATGGTGATAATAATGGTGATGATGATGATAGTAGTGGTGATGATGATGATAATGATGATGATGATAGTAGTGGTGATGGTGATGGTGATGGAATGGAAGAGAAAAATGAGGTAAAATCAGGCAAATGTGTAATTCAATAGATTTAAATTGTAGACTACACGGTACAGTTAGAATTGATCTTTTTTTTTTAAATCAATGAAATGAAATTTCTCTTTTCTGTTCGCAATTTTTTTTTGTCTTTCGTTAATTTGCTTAATTTCGATCAATGATCAAAAATTGAAAGAAGAAACAATGAAATGAGAATGAGAAATTAATGCGAAGTAGTATACAATATAAGAGAGAGAATGAAAAGAACAGAATATAAGAGAAAGTAACAGAATAAGAATAGAATATAAGAAAAAGAATGAAAATAGAATATAAAAGATTGAATAGAATATAAGAAAGAAGAATGGAATATAAGAGAAAGAATGAAAAGAAGAATGGAATATAAGAGAAAGAATGAAAAGAATAGAATATAAGAGAATGAAAAGAATAGAAGAAAGGAAGAATGAAAAGAATAGAATATAAGAGTAAGAAAAATGAATAGAATATAAGAGTAAGAATGAAAAGAAGAATAGAATATAAGAGAAAGAATGAAAAGAAGAATAGAACATAAGGGGAAGAAAGAATTAAAAGAATAAAAATTTAAATGTTATGTTAAAATTTTTTTTTATTTTTTAAAATTTAGGAAAAAATTTCAAAAAAAGTTTTATTCAACTTATTTAGCTAAAATGGATGAATCGTTTTACTTTCTTAAATTTATAGCGAAAAAGAACAAAAAGGGAAATTAAGAGAGTAAGAGAATATTAATTAGTCATAATGAGAGACAAAGATAGTCAAATTATATCATATATTAAAGCAATAGAAAAGAGGGAGAGAGAGAGAGAGAGAGATAGAGAAATTTAAATTGAATTTTATAACCTAAAAATGAATCAATTTATTGTTAAATTCTCAAAAAATTTTCAAACATTTATGCTCTTTGCCAGTAATTAAAATATAACGAAACTGTTGTTCAACAATTGTAATTTTATATTAGTAATTAACTAAATTGTTCAATAATTATAATTCTATATTATTAATTAACTAAATTGTTCAATAATTATAAATTCAATAATTGTATTGCATTGTACTCCAAGCAATAGCTCAATCTCAGAATAAGGCAGCAATATGTGATATAGCATATAACGGATGGTTAGAAGAATTAGCAATGATCAATAATAAGCCTGATTCATTCATAGCTTATTGGAAATTTCATATCTAAGCGAAATAAATTATAATTCCCAATTATGATTATGAAGAAATTTTCATGCAACTATAAATGCGTTGCATGAAAACTATCACATGCAGAAATGATCTGAGAAGAATATATAATATGCTAATATGCTAATAATCAAAATGATTTTAAAGAAAAGGTTAAGCAAATTTTAAAATTCGAAATGATGGAAATCTATTTAAAGAGAGAGAGAGAAGGGAGAAAGGAAAAAAGGGAATGTTTGGTTTGGTCGATTTTATTTGTTGGTGAGTGTATCATTGATAAAATGAAAATATGAATGTGATGCTAACATAAATGCTAATATAATTGGAAGGGAAAAGAGGAAAGAAAAAAAAGGAGGTGGAAAGATAGAATGAAAGAAAAGCGATAAAATTGATAGGAAAATTTGAGATAATAGAAGAGGAGGAAGAGGAGGTGGAAGAGGAAGAGGAGGAACAGGAGGAATTAGGGGTATCGGAGGAGCCATGAACATGTTGGCACTATTATTCATTATCAGCCGTTCCGAATGACATCGTGGAACAATCCAAAGAACAAACTACCATTGATGGGCCGTTGCAAATTAATAAATGATAAAAGAAAATAGAGAGAGAGAAGAGAAGAAAGAAAGAGAAATATTGCATTTAAAAATAGTTAAATTTTCCATATAAATAAATAATTATAAATTATATATATATTTCCATATAAATAAATAATTGTAAATATATATCGATATAAATATATATATAATATATATGTATATATATCGAGATATATATATATATATATCGATACATATATATATCGATATACATATATACACAGATCGATAATTTAAATGGATAAATATCCAAAAAACATCTATCCTAAAAAATATACAAAAAAAATCCCGGATTCCTGAAAAAAATCCCGAATTGGGATCGATATATATATATATATATTGTATATCAGGAATTCGGGATTTTTTTTTGTGCATTTTTTAGGATATAGATGTTTTTTGGATATTTATCCATTTAAATTATCGATTCGTGCATATATATTTTTTATATCAAGAATTCAGGGATTTCAGGAATTTTTTTTATACATTAAGGGTATCGGATATTTGTGGCTATTCATCATTTTGAGCAATTCTATCATTATTTTCTCTGTACCTCTTTCCCTCTTTTGCTATCCGATTATCGTTCATCCGGAAACATTTGCAGCATTATAAATAGAATGATAATAATAATGATGATGATGATGATATGAGGATTTGTTGTGGAAAATTGGATGAAAATTTGGAATAATTTTTAATTAATTAATGATTGATAAAAGATTAAAAAAATTTATAACTTTTAAGATATGGATGAAATTTTAATTTAAAGAAATGATAAATATTCGTGATCGAAAGAAGGAAACAATATTTTTCGTTGCCGAATATTTTTGTCTTATCTATTAGATATCGATCATCCAATTAGTAACATTAATTAATAGCGAATAATAATTAGCATTTATTGTGTTAGAATCAATTATTGGTTAGTAATGTTCATTTTCCATCAATTAATCTTAATCATTATAATGAGGAAAAAGATAAAACAATTGATTTGTAATAAAATTAAGAGCTAGAATAAGTTAGGGAATGTTATAATTTAATTTGAAAAAAAAATTAATTTAATAATCCAATTATAATCTAAGTGTTATAACTTTAGAATTAAATTATTAATTAAATTTTATTCTTTAATAATTTCTAAGATGCAAAAAAATAGTTCTTTATTTCATTTTCTTTATTTATCATATATTGTTATTATTTTTATGATTATTTCACTTTAGCTGAATATCATTATCTTACAATGATAAGCATTACACATCATTTTACACTGCTAGCGATATTGAGAAATGGATAAGGTAAGGAATAATAGTATTAAATGTTAAAATAATACTATTCTATGATTCTTATAATGATTAAATTCTTCTTTAAATGATTAAAGAATATGACTAAATTAAATTCTGAATTAATTATCAAGAAATTATTAACTTCATTCAGAGTTTATAAATAATATAAATAAAAGTTCATTTCAAAGTTTGACGTACGTGTGTCGTGTATATGTTGAAAGAAAATTGAAAAGATCAGGTGAAATACTCTCATACTTACAAATTAACTATATAGGAAACTAATTCTCAATATCAATCAATTTTATTAACAGAAAGAAATATATGTAAAACGATATTGATTAATGTAAATAAAAATTCATTTCAAGTTTAACGTACGTGTGTCGTGTATATGTTGAAAGAAAATTGAAAAGATTACGTGAAATACTCTCATTCTTACAAATCATCTATATAGGAAAATAAATCTCAATATCATTCAATTTTATTAACAAAAGGAAATTGTATGTATATCGATATTGATTGATATAAATAAAAATTTATTTCAAGTTTGATGTACGTGTGTCGTGTATATGTCAAAAGTAAATTTTGCACACTTGAATCTTAATCTTCAGTTGAAAACATTAAATTGTGTGATAGATAAGAAAGAGTAATCTGATGATAATTACTGATAATTATTATTCAGAAAAAAAATGCGCAAACTGAACAACAAAATAAACGTTATGAATAGTATTGAAATTAAGAAATTATAATCATCAAATAATTTTTTTTAACTGAAGATTTATCTGTTCTTTTCCAAAACTTTTTTAACAAAGTTGAACGCGGGGATGAGAACAGCGGGGGAGGATATTGAATATGGTGAAGTTGAACGCGGGGGTGAGAGTAGCGGGGGAAGAATGAAACTGGTCTATAGAAATAAAGTAATTTGTTTTATTTTATCAATTCAATTGGACATCATAGACACAAAAAATATACATTTACAGATATTTCGATAACACACATATATGCACACACACACTACACATATACACACACATACATACACATGCACACATACACACATACACACACATACACACACATACACACATACACACACACATACACTCAAACATTCTCATAATATATAAAGCGCAAAAGTTCATACATACACACACATTCTCGTGATATGTAAAGCGCAAAAGTTCGTACATACACATTCTCGTGATATATAAAGCGCAAAAGTTCGCCAAACTACTTGTTCCCAAAAATTTAAAATATTGAAATCCCTTTTTTTAACCGGATCCTTTTTTTTTTCATTTATTCTTCCAACTCTTTCATTTTCATCAAAAATCAAATAACGAAACAATCAATACGATAAGTTAAACGTTGTAAATTTGAATCTTTCTCCTTCGTTCATTCTTTAAACTTCAATTTGAATTGTTTCATAATTTTTCTGATCAACGATCGGTTAATCTATCCGAATTAAACCGGAATAAGATGAGTGTCATTAAATGGTATTAATGAAAATTAGCATAAATCAAGAATGAATAATATGTAAATAAAGTTACTAATCAACAATACTGCATTTGAAAGAGAGAGAGAGAGAGAGAGAGAGAGAGAGAGGGAGAGAGAGAAAACAAGGGACATATCGATTGTAAAATGCACACCTATCATCATCATCATCATCATCATCCATATTGATGAAATGATATATTGTATGGAAAAGCAATTTCAATTTTTTTCTTCAAACTAAAATTTACTAAGCCTTTTTTTTAATTTAGAATTTTATTCAAAAATGTTATCAAATTTAATGATTTTAGTTGATAAATGATAAATTTAGAAATTGATAAATTAGAAAAAAAGAATACTGGATTTGATTATATTTTGATAAATAAGAACAAAAGAAATATCATTATTATAAACTTCTACCAATTATAAATGATTAGAATCTTACGTGAAAATTAATTATTCAAATTTGAATCTAATCTTTAGAAGTAATTTAATCATAATAGAAGTATTTATATCATTGATATTATATATATATATGTATATCAGTACTAATGTTTAATTATTGGAGGTATTTATAATTAACTATTCAAATTTGACTTTAATCATTAGAAGTAATTATATATATCAACACCAATGAATCTTAATTATCATTCAGGAAATTAAATAAATTTTCTATCATTTTTTATGGATAATGATTTGAATTTAAAATTGCTATTGATATATCATAATAAAAAAAAAATCCAAAATCAGAAATCTAAAATTTGCATTTGAGATATTTTAACAAAAATAAATTTGAATTTAAAATTTTCTGTTGTTCTATTTTAGCAAAAATAAATTTGAATTTAAAATTTTCTGTTGTTCTATTTTAGCAAAAATAAATTTGAATTTAAAATTTTCTGTTGTTCTATTTTAGCAAAAATAAAATTCATCATCTAATGGTTGGTTCTGTTTGCAACAAAAGGTATAATACCTCCGGAGTGATAAACAACGGTGAAATTGTTGACAAAAATGGAATAGAAGTTGTTGTAGTATCAAATAAAAATGGCCCTGATGGTTCTGGAACCGCTGTAGGTTGCAATTTCGGAAGTGATTCTACA